TGAGTTAATGAACCTGTCTGAATAAGGACTGGAAATCCCTTGGCTCTCATGCTGGTGTAAATTTGGAGCGGCTAGAACTGTGGTGTTTGAGATCCGAATCGGGCCCTAAATGGGGACCTCAGGATTGGGCGCTTTGTCATTGAAATGCAGCCGCCTCTGGTGGGAAGGACAGCACATCACACAGCAGTCATGGGAGGGGAAGTGTCATAGGATCTATAAAGTGGGTGGAGAACAGGTAGGAGACACAGCCCACCCCACAAGTGACCTGCAGGGTCCTTGATAATTTGAGCCTGTGCTTCCAGAGACTCCAGTGCTCTGTCACCCAGCTGCTCTGACGCAAACCCCTGCGACTTGAAGTGCAGTGCAAGGAGGTGGGGAGTCAGGTTCCCTCTAATCTTTTCCATCCACGTGCAGAATAATTTTATATGCACAGAGACATGCGCCCATGTGCACCACCAACCAAAACACAACATTTAATTGCGGGTGCTCTGCTGATCAGCTGAGCGGCTTTTGAATGTTTCCTGAGCGGCTGCACAAGCACCTAGTTTATAGTGAACACTGGTCAGGCATGGCTGCATTAGGGGTTTGATCTGGTATATCCTCTGGTGACGAAAATCCCACAACATTTCCCCTCTAGGCATGGCATTTTCATCACTGAACCGCCCTCTGCTGGCCCGTCAAGCTTACAGAGCCTCTTGCCTCTCCCAAGAGAGCCCCTCACGCAGCCTTTTTTTCTTTTGTCTTTGCAGCACACCTGCATTGCTTCAGCCACGGCAATGAATGGCCAGACTATCCCTGCAAACACTCCGGGGCCTCCCCAGGGCTGGAATGAGTTCTGTGAGCTGCATGCCATCACCACAGCCAAGGAGCTTGCCAAGAAGTACCTGCTGTTTGCCACTGAGAACCCCCACCATGACCTCCGGGCAGCTGAGAACTTCTCAGTGCAGTTCACAGAACTCTTCCAGCAGTACTTCTGCCACGAGGTGAAGGAAGGCTTTGCCATGAACCCGGTCAGGGTCCTGCCCTTCAGCAGGGTGCAGGACTATCGGGAGACCAGCAAGAGGCGCTCGGGCTCTTCTTCCGGGACGGTGGCGGCCAAGGTGGAGCTGACCAAGCGGCTGACACTGACCACTGGGGCCTACACAAGTCATGGAGCTCTGAGGAGCTGATGGGGGCAGCTTCTCCTCTGGCCACCAGGAGACACTTCTCTCTCACCCATCTGCGAATGAGCTGGCGTAAGCTCTTTCGTAGGAGATTCTCTGAGGCCATCCCTGGCGAGGGAGACGGGGAGGCGCCTGAGCCTGCTTTCAAGCCTGGACTGACCAAAAAGATGCTGCCGTGGACCCTTTCCCGAGAGCAGGCCCACGAGGTGTGCAAGGAAGGTCTCTTAAAATACGGCATGGTAGATGATGCCACCATGGACAGTGGGACGCGCTGGCAGCGGTGCCGGCTGGTTCTACGGAAGGCAGGAACATCAGACAGTGATGAGTACATCTTGGAGCTGTTTGATCCTCCCAAGGTAAGCAGCTTGCAGGCTCCCAAATAGCCTCTCTGCTGAGTCTTTGTTTGCTACTGACCATGCCTCTTCATTGCCTCATGCATTACTATATTGTTCATCAGGAACATACCACTCCACTTTCACAAGGAGGTGTGGCCCAAGTCTGGGGGAGAGCTAGAGCGGTGGTTCTCAACTCCTTAAGGTACACAGAGGTCTTTGAAGGGAGTACTTCAACTCATCTAGATATTTGTCTGGTTTTACAACATGCTACATAAACTCATGACTGGTGTGGAAAAAGTTAATAGAGAAGAGTTATTTACTTTCCATAATGCAAGAACTAAGGGGTCACCAAATGAATGAATAGGTATCAGGTTTAAAACAGACAAAGGAAGTTTTTCTTCACAAAATGCACAATCAGCCTGTGGAACTCCTTGATGCAGGATATTATAAAGCCCAGGACTTTAACAAGGCTCAACAAATTTATGGAAGATGGATCCATCAATGGCTGTTAGCCAAGATGGGTAGGAATGGTGTCTCTAGCCTCTGTTTGTCAGAAGCTGGGAATGGGCAACAGGGAACGAATCACTTGACCACTATGCAAAGACAAGATACTTGGCTACGTGGACCTTTGGTCTGATCTAGGAATGTAACAGCGTAGTCGACTAATGGATTAAATCAAAAGTTTATAGGTTAATGCTACAGACTACATGCGTTCCTCCCACCTGCCAGTAAATTTGTTGGCAGGCTGGCCAGCAGTCCAGCTCAGTCCTGGCTTGAAACAGGTCCGGGACCTACCCCTGCTGCAGCTCTGCATTTAAAGTGTATTAGGAGCCAGGTGGACAGGCAGCTTGGCTCAGTTCCGGCTTGCACTGGGTCTACATGCTGCTGCTGCTTTATCAGAGGTAGCAGTGCAGGGCTACGGGCAGCTGGTCCATGAGGGGAACTGGCTTCCCTTACGGGCTAGCTCTCACCTGGCACCCTATGCTGCTGCCTCTGATACAGAGGCAGCAGCACAGATTGGAGGGGGCTCCTCAGGAGTGGGGATGGAGCGCACTGGTTGCTGGCCACTAGTGGACTAACTGATAAGAATTCTTGAGGTTACTTAACTATTCAGTTAAGTTGAGGTTACTTGACCCAGTATGGTCATTCTTATGTCCTTATAAAAAGCCCCTGTGAAATCAGTACAAACTAAAATGTTTTGCTTATACTGCTTTGTATGCTATACACTGAAACTCAAGTACAATGTTTATATTTCAGTTGATTTATTTTATATAGTAAAAATGAGAAATGACGCAACTTTTCAGTAGCAGCGTGCGGTGACGTTTTTCTGTTTGTGTTAGATTTTGTAAGCAACTTGCTTTTAAATTAGGACAAACTTGAGGGGTACACAAGGCAAATCAGACTCCTGGAAGGGGCAGAGTAGTTGGAAAAGTTTGAGAGCCACTGAGCTGGAGAATGATCCACGGCTGCTTGGATTGGGCAGGATTTGCATGGTGGGATCTGTAGTTACTCCTTTGCCTTGAAGGGGAATGGCCCAGTTCCGTAGCTGCTGCATGCTGATCTGGCCTGATGTGTCCCTAGCCTTTGTGGTAGAAAGCTGGCTCGTTTGCAAGCCATGGTTCCACTTTTCCCCCGCTGGAGGAGACAGATTAGGTCTGATTTGAGGAAGTGGCCGTTGCTATTTGGTGCCAATATATCAATGTTCTCTCTAATCTCTTCCATCCATGGGCAGATTTTTCCATCCGCGTGTGGGATGCATTTTTATGCGCACTGAGGCATGTGGGAACGTGCACCACCAGTAGAAACAAAACCTACCTATTGGCACTCTGCTAATCAGCTGGGCAGTATCGGAATCTGAGTGGCTGCATAACTGCACAGTTTACAGGGAACACTGGCTTGTATCCCTTTAAAGTGCAGGCTGGGATTCCCCAGCATAGAAAGCTGTGACTACTCCATTGTGTACCTGTTCCTGAAAGAACTCCACAATGGAGCATGGAACAAGTGACGGATGGAGACTGGCGAATCCTCATTATTGGAGGCCTTTACGAATGAGATTGACAAACACCTGTAAGGTGGTCTAGGTTTACATGTGGTGGGATGGACTAGATCACTGTTTCTCAGCTACTGGTCCATGAGATCTCACTGCTTTCCTAAACTGTCATCATCTTCGGTATCAGAAAGGTATAGAAATTCTGGACTAGGTGACCTCTTGGGCTAAAAAGGACCTTTACATTTCTGTGATGTTTCTTTTCTTCTACACATTCTTTGCCAGGTGTCTGGTATTGGCCCAAACAGTCATTTGCGGCTTCTGTCTGGTTTTAAAAAAAAAAAAGCAGAAAATACTGGACGAGTAAAATGTCTGTTTTTTTCTGGGTGGAAGGCCACTTGAGACATTTTTCCCCTGGGGAGGGTGTGTGGTGATTTAAAGGTGCAATGACTCTTTGTGTGTGGTGTTCGGTGTCCTCTCCCCCAACAACTTTGTTCCTCTGGATTTTTTTTTTCTTTTGCTCAAGCAATTTTTCCCCCACCATGTTCGGTGTTTTTTGTGAAACTATCTGGCAACCCTACACATTCAGAATGGGATCTCAAAATGGTCTATCTGGATGCTTTTACTTGCATCATGGTTTTATTTTAAAAAAAAATAAATTTGCTTCAAGTTTTGTAAAATCTCCTAGTGATTGGCTCTGAGTGTGTGTGTTGGGGGTTGATTCCAGGACGTCATATTTCTCTTGTGCAAACCTATTCATCACTTTCCCATTCTGAGAATTCTCTGGGTACTGAACCTCTGCGCAAAACTATGGAGTGGAAATTAATTTCCAGCCATGACAGAAAGGAACTTGGAAAGAAGCGAATGAGCCCTGTGCTTCATGTTTTATTACTTGATTACAGTAGATGAAGGTTGCACTTAAATTGTTTTATTTTAACTGAGACAATAAAGCATTAATGTTTAAACCTTTATGGAGCCACTGACTAATGAAAGGTCACCCATCCCGGGTCTGATCTTGTCTCCAGTGACATCATTTTGACTCTGCTTTGAAAGTGAAACTTTACCACACTTAGACTTGTTGCCCTACATATTCAGAATGAACCTTACTGCTTTGACTAGGTGAGAATTGCATGGATTCCAGTAAGAGAGTTTCCCTTTCACTTCTTCTGCAGGCTTTTTCAGGGTCTGATGTCTGGCAAGATTAGCTGTGTTGTGAAACCTGCTTCACACACCCTGTGATTTGTGAACCACTCTTGCTCAGAATGGTTTTAGATCTAAGCTGTCAGCTGTCCAAGCTGTCTGTCAGGAGCAGCGTTCCCACTAATCTTTTCTATCTGTGTGTGGAATAAATTTTATGTGTACCAAGGGATGTGTGAATGTGCACCACCAATAGGAACAACAACCTAGCTGTGGGTGCTCTGCTAATCAGCTGGGCAGCATTGAAATCTCTGAGTGGCCACAAATGCACAGCTTACCTGGAACACTGGTCAGAAGACTGTGGTGGTGAGGGCACCGGAGCTCTAGCAGCATGGGCGAGGGGGGTGGGAAAGGCAGGGAGTGGGAAGAAAGCACTAGCAGGGAATTCTTGGCTATGTTACTTGATGCCAGGCACAGAGTCCAAGGGCTGATTCTGCTCTTATCCTGGGGAGAAACTAAGCTGGAAGCTGACAGCCCCGTACAGGGCCAGAAACAGCCAGGCTGGAGCAGACCCTGCATGTGTTTAAATAAGCAAATAGGATTTTATCTTGGGGGAGCCTAAGAGCGACTGAGAAATCAGGTTATCGACTGTTGCTAGGAAGATGAAGGTGGGAGAGACGCCTGCACAATGGAGTGAGGGCTCTGCAGGGTTGTGGCTGTCCCTTGGATGGGCAGACTTTGTTTGTTGACTAAAGCATTTGAAGGAGGGCCCAGCTTTGGAGAGAGGGGGGCCTGTGTAAAGCAGGTTGGTTCTGAGGAGCCTGGGCAAAAAGGTCCCAAGGAGAAGCCAAGTGCAGGAGTAGCTGGTGTAGGATTTGAGTGGCGAAGTGGAGAGATGGGACAGGAGGAATCCACGACTAGCTTGTCTTCTTGAAGCGCTTTATATCCAGAGCGTGGGTCCTATTTCCCTCATGCAATTCTGCTGGCGTCAGGGATAAGTAGGTTTGCCAGAAATTGAGTCAGCTTAATAAAAGCTGACAGCTCATGACCAACAAGCCCCAGGATGTCAAGGGCCATCCTTCCTCCCCCAGCACTTCTCTCTTCCGAGGCTGCTAGTTGGGATAAGTAAACTTCCGGGGGCCCTTGGTGCAGCTGCTTCAGGTCCGAGAAATAGGATGACCATACATCCAGTTGGACCAGGGCAGTCCCATTTTTCAGCCCCATCCTGGCCGTCCATACGTGTATCCAAACTGGGCATTTCTCCCAGCTGCAAGCAGCCACTGCAGTGCTGCCTAGGGGCAGCTGAAGGCCGTGGTGCCTGACTGCCACGCACCAGAAATTTGATGCTGGTGGGCAGTGCTCCCTTCAGAGCTGATGGCTGGCATGGCGTGGAGTTCAGGAGACCATCCCCAGTTCTGGGTGGAGTGGGTGGGGCAGCTTGTCTACTCTGGAAGAATCCTGGATCCTCATTGTTTCATTAGTTCTCTGATCATAGAGAATTAAAACTGAGTTATTGTGGGGGCAGGGAGACTCTGTCAGACTCTTTAGAACGAAGTTCTGTGGCGGGGTTCTTTTTGGGGAGGGGTGTCTCCTATTTAATTACAAAGACTCATTAACACTCTGCAAAAGGTAGTTTAAAAGGCTCAGAACTTTGTCTTGAGGCACAGCGAGTCTACAAATCTGAGACTACCTGCTGAAAATCAGGGAAGAGAAGGCTTGAAATGTCTGATATTTCTCGATTAAAGAGCAAGCAAACTTGTCAACCCATACCCAAAAGAAACCTTTAAAAATAAAAATCAGGCTGCATTTTTGTATCCCTGAGAAGTACAAAAAATAAATAAATGAAGGCTCAATTAAAAAAGACTTTGCCAATCACTTTCTGTGCTGATTTTTTTTT